ATTGACCCTAAACCCCAAACCCTGAACCCTAAACCCTAAGCCCTAAATCCTAAACCCTAAACCCTGAACCCCAAACCCTGAAACCTAAGCCCTAAACCCTAAACCCTAAACGCAGCAAACTCTGAGGCCTTCCTTGCCCAAGTTGGAACCTTTCTTGAAGTTCCGCCGACCAACGTCAAGGTCAGGCAGTTCTCGCAAACAGTTTCCCCCACCATGGTTTGAGGGTTGTTTAGGGTTTAGGGTTTTGGATTTAGGATTTAGGGTTTAGGGTTGCGTAGGGCTGCGGGGTTTAGGGTTGAGGGTGGTTTAGGGGCTTGGGGTGGGACCGTTATAGGAGAAGGAACTGGAGCTACACAAGCAGGTTTTGTCACGAATAACAACGTCTAGGGAATTTTTGACATAGCCTTTTATCATATTACTCTCACTTTTACTCTGTTTATTGCTTGTTAATGGTACTTCAACTACTAGAAATATGTACTATTACCATGACAGGTACTATTACTCTTATTGATACCCCGTTCTAGTACTGATACAATCAAAAAGATGATTATTACTGTTGTTCCTACTAGTACACTTACCTGTAGAAGCATGGCTACGATTATTGCTCTTGTCGTTGCTATTCCCAGTACAAGCACATTTATCTATCATTGCTATTGGTTGGGTACTGCCCCCCATTCAATAGCAGTTGGATACTGAACACAATCCGCTCACATATAGACCTGCTACTGGGTGGAACCCTAAACCCTTATTGTTAAGAGGTTACTGGGGAACCTAGTGGAGCCGTAGGTAGTCACTAGTGGTTTTGGCCCTTCTCAGGTGGACTACCAGGGCTCCATGATGCACGTACAGACGCCGGGCAGGCTTAGTTTGTCCAAATTACAGGTTTAGGGTTTAGGGTTTAGGATTTAGGGTTTAGGATTTAGGGTTTAGAGTCTAGGGTTTGGGGTATGGTCCCACCTGGGGGTCCTTGTGATAGGCCGGGCTCATCGCTCATTTTGTCTTGCCTTGTTGGGAACTCGATGTGTCCTTAAGGAGGTCAAAGGTCGGCTTGCTCCAACATGACATCTCCCATGTGAGCTATATAGTCTAAACTCCTAGATTTCTGCTTAGATCTGCTTAGTAACCTGTCTAGTAGTCCCCTGTATTATCCCCTATAGACCCCGTTTAAGGAGTTTGGACTAAAGCTCATGTAGCGCTCCGATTTTACGATCAACTCGACATCTGCGGCCTGGTTCCCAAAGACCCTAAACCCTAAACACTAAATCCTCATTCTAAACTCTAAAATCCACAGCCCTAAGACCCTGAGGCCTAAACCTGCCCGAAGCTCTTAGAAGAGAATTTGTTTGCTTCAGCAGCCGCCCCAGTCCCTACAGGGAGGGTCAAGGGGACTTAGGGTTTAGGGTTTCATAGTAGTATAGTCAGTAAGCGAACGACTTGGATTAGTGATCAGGGCTTACATGGCTTCTTAGGCTTTATTCGTATGCTTACGAAGTCCCCACGACCATGCAAGTAGACCTTACATCCTACGCTCTAAACGGCAAATCTAAAGTCCAAACCTAACCTTAGCCCCAAGCTGTAGCCCCTTATTCTCCTACCCCCTATCCCAATTAATCAAGGTCCCTGCAGCATCCTCAAGCACCGCAAAGCCCCCAAACCATAAGCCCTGAAACCTGGGTACTGCCTCCACTCAGTAACAGTTGGATAATAAGTATAATATGGTTATATATCGCCCTTAATAGGACCCCTAATATAGACTGTTACTGGGTGGGGGCAGTACCCAACGTGAAACCACCGACCCTGCCAACACGCAGCCAAGGAAAGCTAGCTTGAAGCCGGAAGCCTTTCAGGGATTGCACCTCGCACTTAAACAAAATAGATACTGGGATTATATTGGGGTTCTGTTGGGGATATATTGGGGTTGTAGAGGGGTTATATTGGGGCTATATTTGGCTTATAGAGGGGTTATATGGGTGGTTGTCAAAATTATGGTCCCTTTTTGGGTACCCTAAATGAAAGGGATTATAGGGACTACATTGGGGCTCTATGGGGATAATGGAAAAGAAAACGGGAACTACAATATTGGGTTTATTTATACGCTATTAGTCCTTTTTTGGGTACCCTAAATATTAGGTGCCGTATTATAGCAGGGATCCCAAAAGGAACCATAATTTTGACAACCACCCAATTAAGGCCTATAGAGTTTTAGCATCTAGGATTTAGGTTGACGGAGTTATGAAAGGGTTCTCGACGTGTACAAAGAGACGGGAAGAGACGGGTTGTCTGCGGATGTTATTCCCTTGTTGTATGAGCATCATGAGGGGATAAATCATTATGCAGGCATCTACATGAGTGTGACGGTTTGGCACCCCAGACATTTCGCAGACATGGGAATCTTCAGAATTCTTTTCGTACTCATTACTGCCTGAGCTCAAAAGTAGGCAAAATAGCCCAAAGACCTTAAAAGTAGCCCAACAGGCCGTTATTCTGCATACTTTTGGGGTTCAGGTAGGGTTCCCGCAACCCTCGTTTTGTTTTTAGGGTCTGCATGGTCCCCCTTGTTTCAAATGAGGTTGGGTTGACTGACTAGTTAGGCCGGGTCAGACTGAGTATATGGGACGCTTAAATACCTTAGACAGATAGATATATAGTTAGATAGATAGGGAGATATACGGACATTGTAGATGGACGGTTAGATCGATGGGGAGCCTGCTGCTGTAGAGGATCTTGGATTTTGCGGTCTTGGCCTGACACCATGGGGTTTTGGATTTCAGGGTCTTGGGGTTCTGGTCACGAAACGGTTCTTCGGGCTTAAGGGTCGTTTTTCAGGTTTCGCGCTCGGCATTGCAAGTAGAAGGTGTGTAGAATGTTTAGTTACTTGGTTCCGGGTATCTTCTAGGATATGGAAAGCGGCAATTATTCTGACGACGCGCTGTCATAAGACGGGCTAGCTGACTAGTCGAAAGAACTAAATGGCGTTTGGTAGGTAAAAAGTGAATACAATTCATATAGATTCCTCAAACTATCATATCCCCTTATTCTCTTGAAACCAACAGTAGAGTAGAACATGTATATCCCTAAGCCCTAATAGGCCCTAAACCCTAAACCCCCTGTTTTGCAGATTGTTTGCCCGCCAAGGCACTTGCCCATAGCCATAACAGGCGGCCTCATTGAGGATCTGTACGTGGAGGTCCCTGGTGGTGCCAAGGACGGTTGGAGTCAGTTGCATTCTGTTCTCATGTAAGCTATAGTCTACACTCCTAAAAGGGGATTATGTGGGGGATTTTATAGGGAACTGTTATAGGCATTATTAAGGGGGATACGAGGATTTAGACTATAGCCCATGTAAAGGCCAAAGATAACGCAGCCGTGGAAGACTTCGCCCTGCTAACAACTGCTGCTTATCGAGGCCTCGGTCTTATTGAACCCTTCAGTTTTAAAGGCATCCTAGAAATCCCCTTCTGTCGACACCACTCCGGCCTCTAACACCAAAGCCATACATTCTTTTCATGACTCCAGCCTTGTAGGAATTCGCTACGGTCTAGGGCGCAGGTTTTTGGACTATAAATTGATCACAGTGAAAATGTGTCCAGACAGCTATTCGCACGGAAACCATGTAACGTGGAAGCCTGAACAAGTACGAACACTCTTACCCTAAAATATCTATACCGTAAACCCTAAGTACGAGTATCATACGCACTGACATTAGGTTCCAGGTGCATAGACTGGCAAGTACCTACCATTGGGGACCATATTCCTCAATTACGAGTACTACCAGGGTCCTGGTAAATAGACCCCTGCATTAGACGGAAAGGAGCCTGGTAAACTGTCTTTTGCCTCCCGCAGCCACGGCCGGATGCGCATTCATGCCCCTGGGCGGGCTTAAGGGCTTTTTGGGGCCTAGGGTGCCCTTAGTACGGGCTCTAGGGTACTCAACAGGAAGCAAGTCGGCTATTTAGTCACAATGGATGTGTTTAGAGCCTAAATGCCCAGGTCACGTTATGATGAGCTGAAACCTGACAAGCGGGAGTTGTGGTTTTCAAAACGGCGTATCCTAGGGCTCCAGAAAGATGAGGATTGATCTTGAGGAGATCCCCCATAAGTAAGAGATGTACACGTGTTCTTGTACATAGAGGGAATGGGGAGAAATTCACAAACGACTTCGACTGGCATTGGAAGGTTGCCAAATTCGGGGTAGCTCATAAAAGAACAAGTTAAGCACATTCTGCAAATCTCTGGTACTCGATGACATGATGCTTTCTGTTGCAATGGATTTCCATGGCTCAAGGGAAGTCTCTGCTTCACCTTGGGTTTTGCTATTCAGAGTTAGTTTCGGGGCTGGCAACTTTGAAACTTTTGGAACCGGATTCCTTGTACGGTCATGGTATAACCCAAGCAGACCCCAACATGATACTGCTAATTGTAGAGGGTCCTGTAGTATGCCGTAAAGTCGTGGATAGTCAGCATCTCCGAGGGGTGTAAGACATGACAATGTATTAAACATCGCTTGACTTTCCTTTTTTGGGTATTGATGTGTTGCCTAGCCTTTTTCTGGATCATTGGGGCTGCATGGGTTGCTTCATTGATTTCTGCTTTTCGCCCTGGCAGCAGCGGGCCAGATCTTTTGGAGGTTACATCAGCTCCTCTTCTACAATGCTTCCTTTACAACGATTGCTGAGAGCCAAGTAGAGTACCCTTCACCAAAAGAACACGGAACCCCATGTTCTAGCACCCACGCTTAGAGCGCGGCATGCCTTTTCACGTTCCATGTTAGTTTGCTAGGTACCCTAGTAGCGCACGCTTTGCCCTTTTATCTTGGGGGTATCCTTTCCAAAGCTGAATATTCGGAAAAAGGGTATGCTCATTATTAGGGGGGAACGGGGGCCCTAAACCCAAGACCCTGTCAATGGAGCTGGGTGCTGGTTGGGTTGTGTTGCCCCTGCGTAACTACGCATTTCCGGACCTGGCGGATGGAAAAGAGGGGCTGCAAAAAAAAACCTAGTCAATGGGGAGAGCAAGATGTAGTTTATTAGCCGAGGCAGCCGAGAAGCACACAAGCTATAGTCTAGATTCCTTAAAGGGGATTACATAGGGTTTATGGTATACGTTTGAACGTCTAAACTGCTTAAAGGGGGTTATATAGGGGATTCTATAGAGGAGCTTTCTAGCGCTTATGAAGGGGGGATACTAGGAGTTTAGATTACGGCTCACATCAAAAACCACGACGAATTTCGGAAGTATGCATACTGTTCTGCGGTATTTTGCCCATCAAGCGTAGCAAGCCCAATCAGGAGTTTCTGAGACCGAAACAACCCTGAACTTAGTCCTAAATCCTAGACTCTGAGCCCTAAACCTCAGACCATAAACCTGGCTTTTGTAATTGTCCCCTTGCCGCAACAATTACTTCCCCTACCCCCTAACCGCAAATGGGTTTCGGCTTCAGGGGAAAGACTCATCATTAGAACGGGGTCAACCAATTATAGGGGGACAGGATCGGCTCCCTCAACTTTTTCCGGGTATGTATAACCCTCTCGGAATCAAAGGCTAAGCTTGCCATTGGGCAAGAGATTTCATTAGCTAGGTAGGGCTTCCGCAGACAGCCCGCTTCGAATCTCCAACAAGACCCATAATCCCCTTAGAACCAACCTCAAGAAACCCCCTGTGCGTCTAAGGGACCCTAAACCCTAAAGTCCAAACTTCAACCCCCCAAACTAAACCCTCAACCGCCCAAGAAACTGAATCCACCGTCTAAGTTTCAGGATGTAGATAAAATCCCTAAAGCCCAAACCCGAAGAGCCCTGCTTGTCTGGCCTTTGGTTAGCTAGGAATGAAGGATTGGATCCCTATAGTAGTGCCTATATGACCCACTGTGTTAGTTTCCATTTTCTTTTCCATTCCTTGATTCCAAGCTAACCAAAGACCAGTTTTCAGGTCAAGAACTTGCTCCTTATTCTCGGCCCGGGTAAGGGCTTAGACAAGGCGGCGCTGTGCGAGGGCGCGACGCGGCTGCCCAATGATGGGTTCCGGATGGTTGCGGTTCCCCCTAGACATAACCCACCAACCAATCCAAAAGGGCAATGTGCAAGAATATGGAAGCTGCAGTATTTGTTATTTGGGGTTTGTTTATAGAGCTCTGATTAAAGACCACACCCGCGATAGATAAAATTGTACGCTTTGCATCAGGGGCAAATCCATGGATGCTTTCTGGAACGTTGTGGTCCATGATTTATATGCTTTTGTGAAGTGACACGGATGCAACAACAATTTGCAGCCTGTGCTCTGCAGGGAACATGACACACATGCCGGCGTGATCCACGGGGTCACAAAATTACGGGCATCCGCAGGCTACGACGTATTCTTGTGCTTCCTGTATGCTACAGTTGCAGAGTAGTTTGTTTGCGCTTGCGGCCACCTGTGATTGAAAGGATGAAGTCAACTTTTAGAGCTTAGGCCCCTACATTACACCCCAACCCGTGGGCAGCCGAGGCGAAGAGAGACAACCATTGGCGCTACGAGCACCTTGACTGCTAGTGAAACGGTAGTTTTGCAACGAAAAGGGTAGCAGTAGGAAAAACGGTGCCCTTGCCATCAAGGGCTTTCTGGGGAGCCTAGTAAGTCGAAATGGGCAATGATGGTGATGATAACAGCAGCAGTCTTAGTGGTGAGCGACTCACTAGAAGAATTAAGATAACTAAGTAACGGTAACTATAACAATAAGTTGAACTTCAAATCCCCAACCATGATCCCTAAGCCCTAAGCCGGAAGCCACACAGCAAGGCACGTGCTGAATGCCAAGTTCCAAGTTGTCAAGATGATATGCCAGAAGCTAGCAGTGCCGGTGGCCACCATGCCGGTTATGTCCCTCGATCAATAGGGTTTGGGTTTTGGGTTTAGGGCGGGATTTCTAAAGTCTTCTGGTGTTGTTTGGACTCATTCCGTGCTTTTGTTGCTTGATGTTGCTTGCTTTCGGGGCCTTCCAGCGGTAGAATGCTGTTGAGTTCATAGGTGCTGTATTTGGGTTCATAGGTTTTATCCTTGGGCATATAGAACCAGCCACGTTCCGATTTTTCCGAAAGTATTTGGCTCGAAGATTGTATTGTTGTATAATGTTCTACAGTCGGAACATAGAGTGGCCTCAGCAAATGGGTGCGTGGCCTCAACATGAGGTCTTTAGCGGTCAAGCAAGATCCCACAAATTTTGCTGAATACGAGCGTAACTGAGACGTCCAGACAGTCATCTGAACACTATGCCATGGTCATGTAAAGAGAGACGACGGCTGTATAGCGTAGTGATGATTGGAGTATCATGAATGCATGCTTTGTAGTGCCAGGCAATTCAGTTTGTGCCAGCCAGTAGCTATCGTTTCAGGTTGAGGCTCGCCATTTAGGATTTATAGGTTCTACCTGGACCTTGAACCGTAGTTCATGTTTTGTTACGATGTTTGGTTCAGATTGCTAGCAGAACGCCGCCCAAACTAAACTTGACCGGAAGGCCTATCTAGGGCCCCAAGTTCTGAACACCATTCAGGGTGCAGGGTCCAGGCCTGTTTCGTGGGTAAAGGCATCCTCCGTCAGGACTTGGGTCCTGGATTGTGGTCTTCTAGCTTACGTAGAGGAGGTACTGGAAAGGACTACATACACATTTGGAGTACACGAGTCATTTTGCGTATGCGATTCAGGAAGGCATAGTGTTCCTCATCATCTGGTCTTCTACATTGCTGTGTAAAAAGTTGCCAGCTCCTCTGCTTCAGAAATGCTAGAGATGTGGACATCCATTAACCTATAGGCCCTCTCGGAACCTCAGTCTACAGCCAACGGGCAATCTCAAGTGGCATGCTCCAAAGCCCTCTGATTCCGCAACCTCTGGAAATTCTCACTGTGCGGGCCCCCAGCAGAGACCCCTAAGTTTTGGAACCCCCCCACATGGACATGGTCCCAAGGTCTGCATCCGAAACCCGAAAATGCGAAGCTAACCCTGCCTGACCCATGGATGTCCGACCTTTTTGGGGATACACCTTATGAGAATGTAGGACACATCCGCATAAAGGAAGGACATTCAGGGCCCGGGTACCAGTGCGGGCTATTAGACTCTAAAATTCCCCTATTAGTATTGAACAGGGGTAGATTACGGGCCCTTTAAGGTCTCATCCCTTCCGCATAATATAACCCCCCCCACCTCCCCCCAATATAGAAAATGTCCAATATTTTAAAACATACCACCATGGGGTGGTATTTAAGATTAGGGGGGTGGGTGGGTGGGAAGGTTTGATATTAGGGGAGGGGATTAAAAGCCCATCCTGGCAAGGTCACAGGATTCCATGGACTCCTTGAATTCTTCAAAGAGCTTCCACGAGATCCGCAGGAGCCTAGCAGCCCGGCAATGGTAAGGAGAGTGGCCTGCTTGGCGGTTTGGGGTTTAGGGTTTAGAGTGTATGGTTAGTTTATGTTTAGTAGTGTACGTGCAAGTACAAACCATATGAGCTATTGCCTAAACTCTCTAAAAGTGTTATATAATAAGTTATGTAGGAATCAGATAGGGTTCCTCTCATAGGGGTTATTACGGGGGATACTAGGAGTTTAGATTAAAGCTCAGATAATAGCCCCAGTTGTCTGTATTAGCAACCTACTTTCCAAGTGCCCCTTGCACTCTAAGTAGGCTGTGTGGGATTTGGGTTGGGGGTTCAATGGTGGGCCACACGCTCTTGACCAATAACTTGTTCTTGCCAGCATAATCAATGGCACGGCATGTTGTTATAATGGTAATCGTAGTAGTAATAGTACTAGCAAGAATAGGAATAGTGATAAACGGGATACTAGTAATAATAGTAATGAATAGCAATCGTCGTAATGGTAGTAATAAGAACCATA